GGAGACTTGAGAGGGAAGGAGGGAGAGAGAGGGAAGGAGGGAGAGAGAGGGAAGGAGGGAGAGAGGAGGAGGGAAAGAAAGAGAGGGAGAGAAGAGGGAAAGAGAGGAAAGGAGGGAAAATGAGAGGGAGGGAGAAAAGAAGAGAGGGAGGGAGAGAGAAAGAAGGAAAGGGAGAGAGAAGGAGGAAGGGAGAGAGAGAGAGAACATAGAAATATAGGGCTGGAAGCTACTTCCAAGGTCTTCTATTTCAGTCACCTCGGTTTTTTCATCTTTTGGCAGAACAAAATGCGTTTGGATGCATTTTGAGCCCTTCATCCGATTTGATTCCCCCTGCAACCAGGGTCAAAATCGCCATGGAAGCTGCCTTGCTGGAATCTTAAATTTTAACTAGGTTTCTATCGGGCTTGTAGTTTTTACAAGTCAGCCCTCGGGCGGAGTGGGGGGCTTGTCTCTCCCCAGTGCCGACCCCCGCCACCCGACCAAACCTTTTCTTACTTAGAAATGGCTTCATCTCGGTCTTGGATAGCCTTCAACAGCTGCTCGCTCATCTCCTTATCTTCGGCCGATCCCCGCAGCCGGTCCCTTTCCTCTTTCAGCGAAGTCATTTCTACACTCAGCAGCGTCACCTGAGAAGACAAAAGGGGGAAGAACCCAAGGTTGCAACGTTGTGGGTTTCACAGCAAGGCCAAAAGAGCAGGTCCCTTCGCTCTAGAGACGTCCAGCTGAACTCCAGGAAAACCTACGTTGGCTACCTGGCTGTGAAGCTGCTGTAGCTCTTCCAGGCTCTGCCTCAGTTTCCCCCGCTCGCCTTCCATTAACTCCCTCAGGGCTCTTGAATCTTCACTCGTTTGCTTGATCTGTTCTTCCAAAGCATCGTCATCACTTCTCCGAGAACCCTGGAAGAGATATAAACAAGTCTTTTACCCAGGGATATGAATGGTTTCGTCAAGGTTGGACTCAGCCTTCCATCCTTCCAAGGTTGGTAAAATGAGGATCCAGGTGGCTGTGTGGGATAAGATGCTGGCTCTGTAAACCGCTTAGAGAGGGCTGGAAAGCACTATGAAGCAATATATACATTAAGTCTAAGTGCTATTGCTATTGCTCCCTCCTTCCCTCTCCTTTCTTTCTTTCCTTCCTTCCTTCCTTCCTTCCTTCCTTCCTTCCTTCCTGCCTGCCTGCCTGCCTGCCTGCCTGCCTGCCTGCCTGCCTGCCTCCTATCT